TCCACTATAATCAATCAGATTACAACTGCTTAAACTTATCATGTATCAGACTTCCTTCTGCTTAGAGCTACAACCTAAGTCTTCATTGCTTAATCAACGCCTGATCAAGACTTCTTGCTTAGTTCCTCAGATCCTAAGACTTTCCTGCTTAAACCCCTCAAATTCAAGACTTTTTGCTTATACCCTTCGAGTACAAGACTTCCTACTTAGACCTACTGTTCAAGACTTCCTGCTTACATCTCACTGATTCAAGACTTTAATGCTTAAGCCCAAGGCAAGAGACGTTTATCTAAACAGACTATTTAGAGAATGAATAACTTACAGCAACACTTGATTAACAATCATATGTGTTAAAATATAATACAACACACTTTAACATAAAAGATTCTTAATCTATACTAGAATAAGAACTTTTAAAGATTAGTTTCTCTTAAGCTGAAATGAATAGTGTGAAGTGCGTGTATATTTCAGTTGTAGTTGCAGTGCTATTCTCTTGGTTGATATTCAATTCTTCTGCTCCTTTTATAGCTGAAGAAATAGATTCGTTGAAGCATTGCAACAGCTATATTCAGATCAAATCTTATTACATATTTTCTTTTCCAATAAAGTAGGTGTTGGAACTCATAGCCAAGGAGTTATCCACTAAACAAGGCCTTTGTTTAGAGAACTCTTTTGTGAGACAAGTACAATGCAATATTTTGAAGATAATGTCAACTACTCTTGAGTCCCGTGATTTATGAGCTTGAGTTGACATCTTATCTGTTTCAAAGGCAGGGTTAACAAGCTTCTGATTCTGAATAGTACAAGAGATATCTTTTTTATTAGACTTTCTCACAAGTACTTGATTAGAAATCCTAACTGTTTTTCAAATACTTTGTTATCATCAAAACCTTAGAGGATACATGGTATGAACCAAATTTGATTCAACAGTTTATGGACCCCTCTCTAAAGGTTGAGTGGAAGGGAGACTAGTGGTACATTGGGGCATCTAATATTTTTGTGTAGCTGGTTTTTTATTATAACAAGTGCACATATCATTTCTTAAGTGCAAATTGGTATTCAGGGGTTATCTAATAAGATGAGAGTTTGCATTATACTTCAAGGAAGACTTTGGCATACTCAAGTATCAACTTTCTATAAGCCGGAGTTGGAAGTTGTCCTTCTTTGGTGGAGTTGAAGAAATACTGCTAGCAAACAAAGTTAGGAATTGTCCAATATACGCTCAGTTAATGGCAATCGCTCAGACAAGAAATAAGTGGGATTGCCACACACGAATATTGGAGCAGGTTATTGTAGACAACGAGGTTATTGGATCAAGATCCTGAAGGATCTTATATTGTGTTAGCAATTTAGCATCTGATTCATCAAAAGGATTTGTCATGTGATAGTTATTTATATTCAAAACGTTATAATTATTTTATCATCATAGTGGAAGATAATGATTATGTTTTGATGGTGTTATCCATTAAAGAGTGCATGTAGGCAAAGCGAGGACGAATGCCTAAGCATTATATATCTTTGTGTATCTTTCTTTTTCCATATCCTTCTTTACAAGCATTAATTAATTTCATATTTGTTGTTGCATATTTGCAAGATTACATTGATTGTATACCATATAGGTTAGACTGTGCTTATAGTGATTTAACGTATAAACTTAGGTCTATGGTGTATCAATCTTGAGGAATCATCATGAAGTTAATTATGCATTGTTAAAAACATCTAAGTAATGTGTTTTTAAATCGCTTCGTTTAAAACAAATTTGAATGTCTTGTAAGTGACTTGCACTAGAAGTGATCAATCTCATGGTTACCTCATGTATCGTTTCATGTGGCTTAATTTCTTGTGATGCTTCCAAGTTCTCGTTTTTGTGTTTTGCTTAAGTGCTTTTTAAAATCTCCGATTTCGTTTTATGGGACCTAATTTTTTTTTTGAAATTGTCTAAAAGGTTTTTAGGTCTATTCAAACCCCCTTATAGACATTGTTGTTTCCATATTCTCACCTAACACAATCTGGGTCAGATATGTGCTGGATGTGATAGAAATCAAAGTAAAGAAACCTCAAGTGTAGTAGATCGACAAAAAGTCAGCCATAATTCTGAAAAAGAATTCAGTTATTCATAGAAGGAGTAAACAAATTGAAGATATATTTCACTCCCTAAGGGAGAAGTTAAATTAAAGTGAACTTGAAGTGAGACATTGCTCGAGTGAAACACAGTTGACCTATATTTTCACCAAATAATTGAAGATCGGAAAATTTCTAACTTTGAGAAAGAAATTAATAATAGTGTAATCAATTAGATTATGTTTAGCAACTTGAATTATAAGGGGATGTGTTGTGATATAATCCAAATTAGTTATCTACTTGGTTAGCAAGTTAGTTAGTTTGTTATGCTAGCTACTTGAGTTACAAGTAATATATTTTATTTAAATACATGCATAATGTAATCAATTTTAATCATTCAATATAATTACTTTTCATTCTATCTCAATATCTCTCTCATTCCTTCCCTACACAAAGTGTTTATGCACTAACAAATTGGTATCTAGAGCTTTTGGTTCGTTTTTGTAAGTGCTCATGATTGGCTGCATTTTGTGACAAAACTTTAGAGTGTGCATGTATGTCATACTGAATGTTAGGACATACTTAATAATGTGTGTGTAGGGTAAGTTAACTATAAGTTAACTTAGTTAAGCTGAATGTCATACAGAATGTCATAACACTGAACATATGACATCCAGCGGGCAAGTTTGTTTTTCTGGTATCTATAAACCAGGAAACAGAATAGGAGCTCAAGCTGGACATCAGGAGATTTTCTAGAAGCCCTAAGCGAACTAAAAGATCCCTGAATTAAGTGGAAAGTGTGCAGATAATTGAAATTAGGTTTGTGATGGATAAAACCTAATTAATGCACCAATGCCCAAAAAGGACTGACAGCTGCTATAAAGATCAGAAGAAGCAATCCTGAACAGCAGCTCTTGACAATAGAAGAATAGATAGTGCAGATTGTAGAGTCCTTGTAAGTGAAGAAGGCTAGTCTTCACGTGTGAATTCTGTCTAGGAATACTTGTACTCCAAGCAATTGTCTGGTGGACGATTTGCATTGGATAAGTAGATTCTAGGCTGTGTCTCACTCAAAGTTGTGAAGCAAGAGTGTGTGAGTTCCTTGATCAAAGTTGTGAAGCAAGATCAAGGTGTGTATGAAGTGTCTCTTCATATTGTCTTCTGTAATTGTTTAATATCACTGTTGTGTGATTGAGGGGAGTGATTGGGTATACTCAGGTCTAGAGTGTCTTTAGGCTGAATTGTTATTGGGTAGGAATTAAGTGAGGAGTGCAAACTGTGTTGTTTGACTCTGAATTAATTCTGCTAATAGTGAAGTTCCTCCCTGGCTTGGTAGCCCCCAGATGTAGGTGTTGTTGACACTAAACTGGGTTAACTGGGTAAACAATTGTTGTATTATTTACTGCTTTAATTATTACTGATTATTGACAGTTAAGTAGCAGATGTCACAGTGGATGTTATAACTTTAGGAATAACATCCATCGTGTGCTTGCTACAATTTTTAGTTTTCTTGATTGTGAATTCAATAACTGCACGTCAGTGGTCATGTGTTTAGGGATCGTGAATCATATTCACCGCAAAGATGAATGGTAGCAATAGTATTCCCAATTCTCTTCCAATTCTTGATGGCAAAATTTAGATCTGATGGAGAAAACAAATGTAGTCATCATTACAAGCACTGCATGCCCAGACATGGAAAAAGAATGGTGGTTCCAACAAGTTCAAGGTCAAAAGAGACAAGACTCGGAGTAAGAAGTCTCGGGTGAATCCTCAAAAGGATAAAGTTGATGATAGGGCTTATGAATCCTCGAAAAGAGGAGAAGGAACATCATATCAGAAAGACAAACAAGAGAAGAGAAATGTGTAATGCTATAACTGTGAAAAGTGGAGGTTACTTGACCAAGAATTGTTGGTATAAGAAGGGAGTGACAAAAGGCAAAATTGATGAAGGAGAAAACCTCGCACGTCAAGATTTAGATGATTACGACTGTATGATACTTATGGTTGTAGTTGCAGATGTACATGTCGACTCTAAGACATGGTTCATCGACACAGACTGCTCAAATCACATGACTGGTCGAAGAGTGCGTTAACAAATTTTGACATGTCGAAAAAGAGCAAAGTCAGACTTGTAGATAATAGCTCGTTGCAAGCAGAAGGTACCGACAACATAGTCATTCAAGGAAGTAATGAAACAAATACTATGATATAAAATATACTCTATGTACCTGACATAAAATACAATTTGTTAAGCGTTTGACAACCAGTTGAAATTTTTTTTCAATAATAATAAATAAAGTCATTAAAACCATTTACATCATTATACACATCATTACACAAATACTCGTACCATTTGCTAACTATATGCCCTAATTAACAAGTTTTTTTGAAAGATAAGTATATTGACAATTATTATTATGGAAAGATGGATATATTAATATTAAGGGTCGGAAAAATAGTTATTTGAAAAAGAAAATTCTCATTTGGTTGTTAAAAAGAGGTAGTAGCAATATTAATAGAATATGAATAAATCTATTGAGAAGTGGCCTTGGAGACATTTGTTAAGTTGTTTGAAACAACAAATCACATGTGTGAGCATATCTACCATGCCCCGCCCGCAGAAAAGAAGAAGAAAAAAAACAAAACATTTCCCCCCACTCACTTCCAAAAGTAAAACCATGTGGAATACCAAAGTACCATTATCATACACCTCCCCACCACCGACACTTCCCATTCTTATAACCAAAACATTATTATTCCTTCCAAAACAAAATTCCCTTCAATTTTCCCTCTCTTTTATTTTAACCTTTTTCTCCCACCGCACCCCCCTAATCATTTCTCACCCATTCCCTTCCCCACCTCTCTCTTTCTCTCTCCTATTACCACAATTAGTATATAGAGTACCATTGCTTCATAGAGACACAAAATAGTCCAAAAAAATGAAGCTCAACTTAGAGAGAGCATTAACACTCCTTCTAAGTGTTGCTGTTTCTGTCTTCCACATTACTTCAGCTGAAGATCCATATAAATTCTTCAACTGGAATGTTACTTATGGTGACATTTACCCACTCGGAGTTCGTCAAAGAGTCTGTCTCAACTTAATCTCACTTTTTTCCTACTTTTGTTTTCATCCTATATTATATAATTTCAATTTCATAACATTAAGTTATTCAGTAATATGTATATGTTTATAATTCTATGATGTTTCTTTTTCAGGGTATATTGATCAATGGACAATTCCCTGGTCCAGACATTCATTCTGTTACAAACGACAACCTCATTATCAATGTCTTCAACAGTTTAGATGAACCCTTTCTCCTCTCTTGGTACAAACTCTTCCACTTAACCTCCCAATTTTTAATTAATTATTACTACTAATACTAGCATTAATTAAGAACTCAAAATATAAACATGTGGTTGATTCATGTTGACACAGTTAAGGTATGTTTGATGGTGATGTCGGTTGCATTCAAAAGACAATTGTCTATTTTGAAAAGTGGCAACAGTGAAGTTTCCCATGTGCCGTTTCGAATGTGTGGACACTGGACACGGATCCAGATCTGACTCACTTTTTTTTCTTTCTGTATATATGAAAAATTAATATTACTATTTTCTTTTTTAAAAAGGCAAAAGCACATGATTGCAATTGTATTAAGGACACATCCTTAATGGAATTCGGTTATGATGTTTGTTATGAGTCATAATTTTGGAGTAGCAAGAAAGCAACCAATACGGCATATTGTTGGAGCAATAAATGTAGAAAACAAAATTGATTTTTTTTGAAAGCTATTCCGTTGATAGCTGTGTAAAAATATCTTTACCTAACTATCACCTGTTTTAAACAATCTATCAACTGAGCTGATTTAATCGATGTAAAGTTAAGTTGGTTAAAAAGAATACAAGATGCTACAATTACATTATGGCCCATCTATTTAGTACCTTTTACTATTTCCTGGTTGTTGCTTGCTGGAATCCATTATAACTTACCACCTACTCCATCTCGGTTTCTTCCAAATCACGTGCACTAGGAACTTTTAAATTATTAGGTGAAAACTAGATTAATTTTAAAAAAAAGTTTTTAACTATTAATTAAAATTAATGAAATATAATACTTTATTAATTAATGATTGTTTGTGATGCAGGAATGGGATCCAGCAGAGAAGGAATTCATTTGAGGATGGTGTATTTGGAACAACATGTCCAATCCCACCCGGGAAGAACTTCACTTACATACTTCAAGTGAAAGATCAAATTGGAAGTTTTTACTATTTTCCATCTCTTGCATTTCATAAAGCAGCTGGTGGTTTTGGAGGTATTAGGATACTGAGTAGGCCAAGGATTCCAGTTCCTTTCCCTGATCCTTCGGGTGATTACACTGTCCTTATTGGTGATTGGTACAAGTCCAACCATACGGTAACAAATTCTTTTGACCTTTCTCATTGAAGTTTATTAATCCTAAAATCAAATTAAATTGTCTTTTTTGTATTTTATTGAGTTGTGTGCCACAAAACTCAAAGGGATAATGTTATTTTATTTAATAATTACCTCTTGGATAGGGAAATTGGCAAGCGGTGATCACCGATTTGAGACAGTGTCTTCATTAATTTCAAATTTCAATGCAATACAGCCGGACTAACACTTTTTTCCACTTGTATAACCATTCATATTTATTACTCCGCCCGTACTTCATTGAATAATCAATATATTTGAACTGTGACAGGATTTGTTTAAATCCTAGGTCAATTTGTTTAAATTCTAGGGTTAACCTAATACTGAATGCTTAAGACTAGAAAGTATTTTTTTTAAGGTCTCTAGGTGAATGTGAATTCGATACGAGGATAGGACTAAATGTTGACATAAATTTTCTATGTTATCAAATAGTAAACTTTCAATTTTGGTATTCAAACATATTCTATAGAAATCCATGCAATAATTATGTAATTCAACTTCAATTCTCCCATTTGAACTATATGGAATTTGATGGAATTTATTTCCACAAAGTAAACTTTGTATGGATAATATGCAGACTCTAAAAGCCCATCTTGATAATGGAAAGAAGCTTCCTATACCTGATGGAATCCTCATCAATGGTCGCGGCCCTAACGGATTATCTTTCAACGTCGAACAAGGTATGTAATTATTATTTTGCGATATAAGGTGTGTAAGTATGAAATTACATAAAATGATGATAGCTTTATTTGAATGTCCTATGACTTGTATACACAACAGGAAAGACTTACAGGCTTAGGATATCGAATGTGGGATTACAACATTCCCTTAACTTCAGAATTCAGAATCACAAAATGAAGTTGGTAGAAGTTGAAGGGACACACACTCTTCAAACTACATACTCCTCACTTGATGTTCATGTTGGACAATCCTATTCCGTGCTAGTAACGGCTGATCAACCTTCTCAAGACTACTACATTGTGGTTTCCACAAGATTCTCGCCGAAGATCCTTACCACTACTAGCGTACTTCGTTATAGTAACTCTGCAGGCCCGGTATCAGGCCCACCTCCTGGTGGACCGACAATCCAAGTTGATTGGTCTTTGAACCAGGCTCGATCAATCAGGTACTTTATTTTAAGCTACTTTGAATAATAATTAATTATCGTTAATGTTTAATTCAACAAGTTTCGGTTAAGAATAAATCGTTTGACTAAAAGATAGTAATAATTACATGAAATGATTCTTGTGACTCAAGCTATGATCCATATTTTCAGGACTAACCTTACCGCAAGTGGACCAAGGCCTAATCCACAAGGATCCTACCATTACGGTCTCATAAACACGACCAAGACAATCATTCTGTCTAGTTCTCCCGGTCAAGTTAATGGCAAGCAAAGATACGCGATTAACAGCGTATCTTATGTCTCGCCAGACACGCCTCTTAAGCTCGCCGACTACTTCAAAATTTCCGGTGTTTTTCGGGTTGGAAGCATATCTGACAGGCCCACTGGTGGTGGCATTTACCTTGATACGTCTGTTTTGCAAGCTGATTACAGATCTTTCATTGAGATTGTCTTCCAAAACAACGAGAACATCGTTCAGAGTTATCATCTTGATGGCTACTCTTTCTTCGTGGTTGGGTGAGCACACCACACATTTAATTTCTCCACATGTTTATATTTATGTTTGTTTCTTTGATGGCTACACGTTCTTGATAATTTTGTCTGGAATTTCTAAAACTGGTCACTTGTTTATATGTAGTATGGATGGAGGACAATGGACAACTTCTAGCAGAAACAATTACAATCTCCGAGATGCAGTCTCGCGTTGCACCACTCAGGTGAGAATTGAGTGTTCAGTTTGTTAGTTACTGGCGTCGTTTATTTCTGACTGATGCGATATTTGATTTTGGATTTTGTTAAGGTATATCCTTATTCATGGACTGCTATTTATATTGCTCTTGACAACGTTGGAATGTGGAACTTGAGGACTGAGTTTTGGGCGCGACAGTACCTCGGCCAACAGTTTTATTTGCGCGTTTACACAGCATCAACCTCAATCAGAGACGAGTTTCCTATTCCAAAGAACGCGCGTCTCTGTGGTAGGGCAAGCGGGCGACACACGCGACCCCTTTGAGCTAGCAAAGGTTTAAAGAATCCATTCCACATTCTAGCTTTAGAATCATGATGAAAAGTAGTTAACTTATCTACTTGTAATTTTATTGTTGAGTGTTTCAAATATATATGTTGTGTTCCGGTCGAATCACGAAGATGTTCGAGTCTAAATGACCTCAACTCGAGGTCACATTCTTTTCCAGCCAAAAAAGAAGAATACTATTTATGTTCCCTTTGTATTATTATCTAGAATACGAATGGGCAAAGTTTGTATTTTGCAGCTAGCTGAGATGGTGATTCATTTGATGTATTGAATGCAGAACTCTTTGATTTTCAGTTGTTGTATATCCTTTTCACTTCTCAATTGTTTTGAAACGTTTATTTGAATTGTCTAATACATGTTGTATGAGTGTCACGATATTTTTTTTAGGGTAAGAGAAAAGAAAAGACAAAAACAATTAAAAGAAAATCAACATAAAAAATAGTAAATATCGGTAGGGTAAGAGAAAAGAAAAGAAAAAAATAATTAAAAGAAAATCAACATAAAAAATACTCTTTTTACATCAACATGCAAAATAGAGGTGGAATAAAAAAATTCTTGCCAAGGAATCAATCAAGTAGCCTTAATTTTGGCCAAGCAAACAACTGCATAAGTATGATTCGTCTGTCTCTTTGCAACAACTCCTTAATGTTTGAAATAACAAATGCAAAATGGTGTTAAGGATAACACTTTTGTCTTAGCAAAGTAGAATTAGAATAATAAACTAAATCTCTGATCTCTTTATCTCATTCTAGTGTGAGTCCATGGTATAAAGCAAAAAATTCTACATGAAAGATTATAAAAACATCATTACTACCAACAAAACCAATTAACTAAGAATCATTCGATTGCCTAATCACACACTCGAATCGAGATGGACAGAGGTTCTCCTAACTATTACCATCAACATTGAGAATCATAATTGTCTCCGTCATTGAATGCCAAAAAATTCATCTGTTATTCGCTACTACAATCTCTCAAAAGGGAAATGTGTCTAGTAGACACTTCCCAAACTTGAAAATCTGCAGTTTAAGATGATAAATAGAGAAATTCTCATTCTCCATACAAATTTGATTCCCTACCCTCTAAAGCCACCAACAAGTAGTTAGGAACATGTGAAACATGTCAGACTCAATTCATGTTCGAAGTCAAATATGTCTAGCAAAACACAATCTCGAATGTAGTAGAAAATAGTCTCATTTATATTTGTACGTCTTGGGCAAGTAGCCATTTGAAGAATCCCCCATTTGGGCAGACAATCTGATCGAAAAAATAGCAAGTGTACTATTTTTGTCAATTGTAGTTAAAATAGGAGTTTTATTCCCAATATCGATCTCAAGGGCTGCGTAAGAGAATATAAGCTCTATAATAGTTCAATTAAACAAAAACAATTGAGAGTTTGGAAATTGTTTTTAAAAATTAAAGGTTGCAATAATAAAAATAAGGCAAAATGATAAAATAGGGTTCTGATAGATATGAGAGCATATTAGAGATAGTGTATGAATTGCCTTGTAACAACCTTAATCCTTATTTCATAGACATGACTTAAAACAAACCTTTACCGATTCTCAAGTATATTTTTTCCTAAGGCCTTAGAAAGAAAAACCTTTGATATTCATCCTAAACCCTAAGTCCTTAGAGATTTAGGATGAAATCAAGCATTATATTTTATCAAGAATGTTACGGTTACTACAAGGTATCCCTAGTCTTAGGTGATATCTACTATAGTATTATTGCACGAAAAGCATTAACAGTGGTTTGTCCAACCTAAGGTTAACCGTAAATCAATTTCCATTTGTCCGATAGAACAAGCATTAAACACATTGTTAAATAAAATTGATTATGAGAAAAATCACTTATGTCATAGAATAAAGGAAATTAGGTTCAATACAAAAACAACTCAGGGACACCCCCTAACATTGAGGGATTTAGCTACTCATAATAATCAGAGAAGATGCAATCATAATCATATTAAACATTACAAGAATAATGGTTACTTTGATCTTCAATTGCGAAGACTCACGAAAATCTTCGTTCCCCACTTCTCTGGATCGTTCCAATCTTGATAGTAATATTCCTCCGTCATTAAAAAGTCCTCTTTTCCTTCTCAAAAAGCATCTAAAATACTCACAAGTCCAACACAGCAGTAGGGAAATATCCAAAATACCCTCATGGATCACACAAGTAAAAAATCCAAAAATATTAGAAGATGAAGGGTTTCAGCCAACACGGACCGTGTCAGCTGACACGGGCGGCCGTGTTGGCTCACTTTCTTTCTGTAATACAAACTTCTCAGTTCCAAGTATGCTGACACAGGCGGTGCCAGCTGACACGGGTCGTGTCAGCTGACACAGGCGGCCGTGTCAGCCCCCTGGATTCTCACTATCTTGCATTTTTTCTTGATCAAGCATATCCTCCTAACACGGTCAGTCTGAGGCAACACAGGTGGTCGTGTCAGGCCTTATGTATTTTGCCAATTTCATTCCCAAAAACATTGTATTGTCCACTTTTTTCGCTCTGATTTTTCCTGAATGCTTACCTGAATCTAAAAACAATGGAAATACAAAACCAACGCATAAAATGCGATAAAAGGAAATAAAATGCAACTAAGCATGTAAGAAGATTAACTAAAACTAACGGTAAAATAAAGCATAAAAACCACTAATCAAACTCCCTCAAACCTAAACCTTTGCTTGACCTCAAGTAACAAGCTTGCATAAAGATTTTTCAGATCAAACGGTACACATCAAATAAAAGACTTGTGAAGGTAAGGTGTGTCGATACTCATACGTGAGCCTTTGTTCCGATCGGCTGAAACAAGTTCTCTTGGTAATTGTCTGTTAACGAAGGTATTACACAAACACATACCGCGATAAAACCACAAACCTAAATCCCCCTTTCGATAACCTCTCCAATTATGCTTTGGGCTTAAGTATTTTCTTCAATTTTCTACCCTTTTCATTCGGATGATCAGATTAACGCATTTTTGATTGTTTTCCCTCACATGTACAAGATTGATCGATACTTTTCTAGGCACCTTTATTCTTTTTCTCTCGTGCATATACGTTTATTAGTCCACTTAGAGACGACAATTGAGACTCAACCTCCACTAGGCTAAGTAATCGGGTGAGGGTTTCCCAACTTAGAAGGACCAGTTCTCTTTACCGCCATTATTCATCATTTTTTTGGTGTCATAAGTCATTCTCTCAATCAACCTTATACATGCAATTATTTTTAATCATGTCGGACTATCACTATGAACTAATCGGAGAATACTTCTCAAATCCAAGTATTATGGCACAAATCTACACGTTGGACTCGTTTCCTTACTCCGGAGAATGTAGGGTGTTTAGGTTATACCTCAATTTCCAAACTTCCCAAAGTAACTAGTTCTAACTCCTCTTCCCTCAAACTCTATATACTTTCCTGACTACCTCATACATCACAGTATTCACAAGAAAAAAAATTTCGGTCCTTATTCGGAGAGAGTTCAAAGTGGTTTTTAAGGAAAAGCACACAAAGACAATTAAAAAGTACTTAAAACGAAAACTCAAATAGTAAATCCTCACCCAAACTTGAACTAAACATTGACCTCAATATTTTAGAACAAGAGAGAGAGAGAGAGAGAGAGAGAGAGAGAGAGAGAGAGAGAGAGAGAGAGAGAGAGAGAGAGAGAGAGAGAGAGAGAGAGAGAGAGAGAGAGAGAGAGACGTAACTCACAAAGATCCTTATTAAGGAGTCAGAGGGTAATGCAACACCCATTTGCTACATCCTAGTTTGCACTTGTAAGGTCTCGTTTATTATCTGCAAACGAAACAAAATAACAAGAAAAAGAAAATGCTCAATAATTAAAAACGTGGATTGCCTCCCACGCAACACTTTGTTTAATGTTGCATGGTTCGACAGTTCACTCCTCATTATTATGGGGGGTATTTCAGCTTCCATCCTTTGTTTCTTGACCTTTCCGTAACAGAGGACCGGTCAGGTTTAGAGATAAGAGCAACTTTGTGTATCAAATCACATCCAACATCCATGTTCTTCCTTTTTCTCATCTTGACTCCTCGAATGAATTTTGGAGTCTTTCTACATGCTCTAGACGACTAAGATATTGCAACGTGATAGATTACACCAAAGACTTTTTTAGGAAGTGGTTTTGAACTTTTGCCTTTTCCCACTGTTTTGATCTCTCCAACTGAAGGTTGATTATCTTCCTCTTTACATCACTTCTTGATGTCCAACACTTTTAAAGTTATTTCCTCATCAATATATTTCAAGGTTAGAGTACCTGTTTCAATATCAACATTGCAACAACTAGTAAGCAAGAATGGTCGGCCAAGTATGATGGGAGTCTCTTCATCTTCTGGAATATCTATAATCTCAAAATCAACTGGGAAGGTGAAGTTATCAATCGTCACTAGTACATCCTCTGCTAGCCCATATGACATCTTAGTCACGTGGTCGGCAAACTTCAAGGTTGTTCTCGTATCGTTCACTTTTCCAATATCCAGCTTTTAAAATAGACAAAGGCATGAGATTCATACTAGCACCTGAATCAATAAGGACCTTATTGAAAGTTCTATCTTTTATAGTACAAGGGATTGCTACAGGTCCAGGATCTTTCCGCTTGATGGAGATTATCCTTCCTTAGGATATTTCAGTACGCTGCTCAGTTGAAATTTTCTGCTACTCACCCATTGGTATCTTTTTCCCAATTACCTCTTTCATGAATTTATTGTACAAAGACATTTGCTTGAGTGCTTCAAGAAAGGCATATTGATCTCTAACTTTTTGAACATTGTGCTGAAACTTTCAAAGTCTTTCTCTTTCTGATCCTTCTTTGTAAATCTCGGAGGGTAAGGTAGCTTGATTTTTGGTTTAACCTCCTATTTCTTTTTCTCTTCAGTTGGCTTTGCAGGTGGTACATCTTTTTCCGGTTCTTTCTAGTTTTATCTCACTTCAAGTTCCGCCTCTATACACTGATA